AGGCCGATAAGGCCGCTGTAGCTGCGTGTGAGTGCAGGCTCAACCTTGCAAGCTTTCAAACGTGGAGCCGAGCAACGGAAGTTGCTGAGCAATGGGAACGCGAGGCGTTGCGGAGACAGCGCAGTGTGTGTGAGGCACTGCGTGCGTCTCTGGCTGCAGCCCCGTAGTTGTTCCAGCCCCAGTTGGGGCCCACTGTGTCTCTTGTGCTGTGCTAGCCCCAGCAGGGGCCCGTGTGTGCATCACAAGCTTTGCAGCCTGTGCTAGCCCCAGCAGGGGCCCGTGTGTGTGCATCACAAGCTTTGCTGCCTTGTGCTAGCCCCAGCAGGGGCTCGTGTGTGCATCACAAGCTTTGCAGCCTTGTGCTAGCCCCAGCAGGGGCCCGTGTGTGCATCACAAGCTTTGCAGCCCCGTCAGGGGCCCGAATGCTGTCTCCAGCCATCTTCGGACGCAGGTTGTGACAGCGAAAACATGATGATGATGAGGAGGTATATTAACTACGGGTCTACGGGTCTACAAGTCAGCTCGCACATCATCTCCCCGTTCAGGGTCCCGCCCTGGGGAACTCCTTTGGGATGGAATTTTTTTAGGGTCAGGGGATTAGGGTTTAGGGTTTCGGGTTCCTAGAAAGCCAGTAGCCTATAGTTATAGAAGACCTACTGAACTACGTAGAGTTTGGGCTTAGGGTTTAGGGGTATAGATGTATGCAGCTGTATTGAATCCCTCAGATAGATTCTCCCATCCCCGACGGATTTAAGGGATCACCTGAGGCACAGCCACACAGAAACCCTAGCTCCAGACTTCGGACTCCCGATCGAAGGCCTACCTGGAAAGCCTAGTTACCTATAATATTGGGCTACTTTAGCCCAAAGTAATAGAAAATTAGGGCAACATTGCCAATAATTATAGGTAACTGGCTTTCTAGGTAGCTTCTTTGAATGGTTAAGATTCGGAGGATTCCCCCCCCAAAAAAGTACTGAAGGGCGGTGTAGGTAGTCACCTAAACGCGAGCCCAGAGCACATCACCTATGCCCTAACGTCTAACCCTGCGCTTGCTCCGAACCTTAACTGGGTGTCTGTTAAGGAACTTAAATTAAGTTACCCTAATGGGTATATGTCGTAATAATAGGTTTCCCCAATATAGTAACTTAAGTTAAACTCCTTAACAACAACCCAGTTCGGAGGAGCTGTGTCGCGCCTTGTTTAACGGAGCTCTTGCTTTTGGCTTTTTGGTCTGGGCACCGGACTTTCTGAAGCTTGCGGATGGCAGACACTGGGCTTCTGACATATGTGGTTTAGGGCTTTAGGGCTTTGAGTTTTAGGGTTTCAGCTTTAGGGTGTTGGGGTTTAGGGCTTACGGCTAGCCCTAAACCCTAAAGCCCTATAACCCAGAACCTAACCTGCACTAGCAATGGCAGAGCCCCTTTTCTGTCCAAGATATTAAACACCTATGACTCCCCAGGTCGTTTAGGGTTTAGGGTTCAGGAGTATTGAAGCATCTGCTCCACTTAGTAGAAGCTGGACGCTTGTAATCGTACATGATACTACTCGTTGGACATAACTGCTGATTTTCAAGCCCAAGGCAATAAGGATGATAATCTGGAGTTACAGGTTTTAAGGTAGCCTCAACACTAGCTAGTTGGGTGGTTTTTCATATGTTAGGGGGAAGTCAAACCCTCAACCCTCGGCCCTCGCGTAGTTAGGTGGTGGGGTGTTTTTTTGATACTAGGGGGAAATCACGGCCTACTAAACTAAACTTCCTGTATTATAGAAGTCTGCCGTTGTTTTGGGGCCACACATTGGTCTAAGGTCCTACACCTTCTGCGCTAGCCCTATACTCCAAACCCTATAGACCCACGTCTAAACCCCGAAACCCCAAACCCAAGACGCCTCAACCTCTAAGCCGCTAAACCCCCTAACCTCGAACCCCTAAACCCTAAACCCTAGACCCATCAATCTCTAAGGGACTATACCCTAAACCCTAAACCCAAAACCCTAAGGTTTGAAACAGTTCCCTTGTTTGCTTATCTCTTCATGTTGTAAGCGCACTTGCACTCATTGCTGCTCATCCCGAAGCCTGAAAATCTGAACTCTAATAAGGGCCTAAACAATTCCCAATATTATGGTTCCCATATTCCTTAAAGTTTAGGGTTTCGGGATAATTAAAGGGATGATGATTCCATATTCCTTGTATAATTACAGGACCTAAGCTCATTGTCTTGTCTGAAGCCCACGATTGTGCGACGAGGATATCCATTGCAGATCTCCATCGGAATCGTCTTCGCTTATCTGGGTAGCGATGCCGTGTTTGCATTGCTGGCCCAGGTTGCAACTAGGATCTTAGTCCAGACCAAGGGCCACTTCTGGTTGATGCTTGGCCTTTTGAATGAGCACGTTTTTTGTTACCAGAATCTTGGCGGGAGATATGACACGTAGCTTGAATGTGGACGGCACCCATAAGCCCATCGAGACGCCCTGTTCGTATAAGCGTGTGGAAGCCACGCTACTCCAACTTGGCACTTCAAATTTTGGGATTCATACATTAGGTGGACCCCGCACCCAGTACTAGTGGTATAATAGGAATGTAAGAGGACCTTAATATAATCCTTTTTATCCATAATAGTCACTATTGCTGGGTGGAGGGTCCACCTAATTCATGCATGAATCAGAAGCCAAGTTAACCCTGACCCGGTCCAGTGCAACTGCCCTGGCTGGGTGCCGGCCCACCCCGCCCCGCAGAGATGCAGCCCATAATTTAATAATATGCGGCCAAAAAGACGGGCGCAGAAATGCAGCCTCAAACTAAAGGCGGAACATATCATGGGGATATATAGGGTATAATATAGTATATTGGGGTTATATATGGGGATAATGAAAATTAAATGGCAACAGCTATAGTATATTAGTGTTCTTGCGTGCCTTTTCATGTGTTTGAACCCCACCTCCCTCCTGCCATCCCTCGCCACCACCCGGAACGAAGCGCCGAAGGAAGAACGCTGGCAAAATCCTAGCAAAGAATATAGGGGTTATATATGGATAATGGGTTCTATATCGGGTTTCTATAGGCATACTGGAAAAATGGAAGCTACTATTTAGGAAGGATTATCCCACCAAAAAATTGTTCAGCCCCCCCGCCAAAATTGAGACAGTTGACCAACGATTACGACGTCAATGTGATTATTTCTGCTGAATGCACACACTGTTACAGTCCCGTTTGGCAGCGGCTACTTTCGCGCCATCACTCCTTCGACCAAAGATTGAACAACTTTGCGTATGACTCTAGAGGGCGAGGAACCCAGTGTCCGGATGAGTCTGGTGGTCAGTGAGCTTTCCAAGAAGAATCCCTGATGTTCCCTGAAGGCGGACCCTTTGGATTCCCTCTGATCGTATGAACGAGTTCCTTTGGAAAATCCCTATCTCCCTGGGTGTCCAAGCCTCCCCCCCTGTATCCGTTGGTATTAGGGTTCCCTGAACCCCAAACCCCCACTATGGGCTATTAGACCTTAGAATTCCTTAGTAGGACCCTATTAAGGGTAGATGGAGGTACCCTTAAGGTCTAATAGCCCGTCTAATAGCCCATAGTGGCCAGAATATAGACCCCAATTTATTACAGTCCTTATTATGGGGACCCCCAGAAAGGTACCGCTAATTTTGGGAAATCCCCCATAATAGGGTTCCCTGAACCTAAACCCAGAAGCCAGGATAGGCGGCAGTGATCACACGTGGGAGGAGGAGCAGCTGCTTGAGCAGGCTCGCAAAAGCAAAGCAGATTAAAAAGGCCGCTGCGCGCTTCGTGTTCGCTAGGGTTTAGGGTTTAGGGTTTAGGGCTCGGTATTGTTTAGTGTTGTCCTTGCCTATGTAAAGCCAATCCATTTTTCCCTGGTTTCCGACCATTTTGAGTTGAAGTAGCTCATCATTTTTACTAAGTAGGCCTTCCGGCTGTGCAGTTGATTTCAAATGCCTCTGCATTACCTCATGTTCTCCAATTCACATGGTAGCTGGGGCTCTGCAGACAGAATACCAGTGGCTTACACGAGATTCTTCTGCTGTGAGCCTGTAGGCCCTTATGAGTCTTGATGACTGTTCCAGGTGTTGTTCGCGCATGAACCTAGACCCTCGAAACTAAACCCTGAATTCTGAACCCAGACGGTCCATATATACATTTAGGGAATAGGGTTTAGGGGATTTAGGGTTTAGGGTTTAGGGGATTTAGAGTTTAGGGTTTAGGGGATTCGTAAGCCCTAAACCTAAATCCTAAAACCTGAAAGGGTGTTGTGCTTACTAGGAGAGGCAGTGTTCTGAAGATGCTGTTGATTCAATGGACTAACTGTCAACAACCCTTGTCTTGGGTAGCAAGATCATTCATCCTGCAAGAGTGCCCATAATCTAAACTCCTCAAAGGGGGTTCTAGAAGGGATTATGTATGGGACTACTACGGGGGTTATTGCTGGGGATACTAGGTGATTACTGGATCAATGTTAGGGATCCTTTATACTTTTTGGGGTATGGGATTCCTTATATTCATGTGAGACATTGTCTAAACTCCTGGTATCCCCCTTAATAACCACAATAGTAATCCCCTATATGATCCCCTATATAGCCCCCTTTAAGGAGTTCAGACTATAGCTCATGTAGAAAGGATCCTTTTTTCTTCCTGGGGTAATGCGGGCTAAGATTAGACTATGGCTCAAATGTTGCTGCGTCGTAGCTTCAAGGCTGCTAGGCTTTTCGATGCTAGTGATGGCAACTCTGAAGCCTCAACTACACTCCCGGAAACTAACATGGAAACCCAAAAAGGGCCCTACAAAGGCTACAGTCCTTCTAACAGGGGACTATATGGGTTTCCATGTTAGTTTGGGGGAGTGTATTCACCTGGACGATTAGAGGGATTATGTAAGTGTGCATATGGGTGATTGTCAAAATTCTGGGTCCCTTTGTGGGTACCCTAAATCTTAGGTGCCGTGTCATAATAGACTCTTTGTAATCCCAGTTTCCATGTCTTTTCCCGCCCTCTTTTTGCATGTGTGTCTCCACTACCTAAGCCCTAAACCCTATAACAGCGATCGTTAGCACCTACATTAAGCTCAGTATCCTACACGCTAATTGAACCTTAGACCCCTAACCTTACACTGAACCCTAAACCCAGTCTACAGTTGGTAGATACTGAGGACAGCTGATAAACCCCAAACTTCCAATCCTAAGCCTTAAACCCCAAACCTCAAACCCTAAACTCTAACCTCGAACCCGAAACCCTAAACCTTAAACCCCAAACCTTAAACCCTAAACCCTGAACCTTCAACAGTAAACCGAAAATTCCCAGCCCTAAACCCAAACCCTCCGAACCATTCGCCGGGAAACCTCGAGGTTGATCTTCGCCTTCCGACTTGCGTCTCGCCCCACTTCGGAGGTCCAAATGGTTGGGATTGGGATTTAGGGTCTAGGGTTTGGGGTTTTAGGGTTTAGGGTTTGCAATTTGGGGTTTAGGGCTTGGGGTTTAGGGTTTGGAATTTGGGATTCGGGGTTTTATAGTTGGGGATCTTGGATTTAAGATTTGGGGTTTAGGGTTTGGGGTTTAGGGTTTGGGGTTTGGCCTTTAGGGTTTAGGTTTCAATGGGGCTTAGGGTAATGACCGAAGTGTCCAATTTCGTGTCCCAAATACGAGCATTTGAATGGCTTTTGGTACCTGAAGACCGAGTATTTGGGCTATTTGATCCCTGTGGCTGCAGGGATACCTTATACTACAGTAGAAACTACAGTATATTGGGGTTGCAAGATTTCCTCCAGCCACTCTGGGGGAGGCTTCGCGATATGGGGTGCGCAGGATTCCGTGTTTAGGTTTTAGGTATGTAGGTGGGTGGTGCTCAAAAACAGATACCTTGAGGCCCCCAAAAAGGGCAGGGATTTGGGGTGTGGGTTTTCCGCGGCTTCTCAACACTGGGTACCCTCAAGGGCTCTAGCCTAGAGGGTCCAAAGTATATGACTATCATATATTTCCGCCAGCCTAAACATGATTCCCAGTACCTGAATCATAGACATATGAGGATTACAAGGAGGATAGAGGGGGCAGTCTGACGATGCCATAGGGGTCATTTTCTTGGAAAAGTGCTTAGTAGCCCCAACCCCTGTACAGGGAAGTGACAAGAGTCTTATGATACAGTTGATAGTAAAAATCCTGCATGACCTTAATATACTCTAGTACCATAACCCTAAACCCTAGGGTACTTAGGGTCATGCAGGATTTGTAGTATCCACCGTAGTCCTTGCCATTGCCTGAAGCTGTGGCGGGTGCTCAGGGTTATGGCTAAGGTTAACGGGACAGCCTGCTTTTTTTAGGCGGGGCAGGGCAAAGACAGGCTAAGAGGAGAATGATATGACAAGGGATCTAGGCAAGGTGTAGGAGAACCGGCTATTCTAGCGCAAGAGTCCCCTTGCTGCTGAACAGGCAGACAGACTGCTCCAATACCAAGATGTCAGAACAGTTTAGTTTCCTAAACAATAAAGCCTTGGGTTGTCGAAGTGTGTGTCCTAAACCCTGAGACCTGCTTGAAGGGCCAAGAAAACTTAGTAAATCAGTCATTAAGAGGCAACTGGGATAGTTGGATGGCCCTATAAGTATTGGGGGCAAATTCCTTTTTTATGGCCTACGGGCTACACGTAGAGTTGGCTGAGTCCCCAAGCCGTCAGCTGAGCACTTTCAAACCTCGCGAAGGCAACGTTGAGATTGCGAGGGCCGTTCGGCTTCGTGTTTGATGAGGCTGGGACGGTTGCTAGCCCAAAGGGTCCAAAGTACTTACCTAGCCCAGGGTATGGCTTTTGTACTCCCTGGACCTGAAGAGCATGAAAAATCGTTTCCAACAAACCCTGCAAACCGTCAAAAGCCCGTATTATCTATATATATATATATATATAGGTACGCCTTCCCTACAGGGTTACTGAGTTGCCGTTCAGGAGCTTCAAGTAGGTTACTCCATATATAAGGAAGCCCTATCATTTACCATATACCCATGATACTGTTGATGGATGAAATCTTGCACCACCTAGATGCACTAAATTACGGTAATTCCTAGGACTTTAGGGACTTAGGGTGGTGCAAGATTTCCTCTATGGTAACTAAATTCAAGCTCCTGAACGGCAACCCAGGTCACCCGGGAGCCTTTGCAGAGGGTTTAGGGTTTCCGGTGTAGGGTTTAGGGTTTCGGGTTCAGGGGTTCAAGGGCTTAGGGTTTAGGGATTTTAGGGTATATAGGGCTTAGGGTTTAGGTTAGGGTGCAAAGACCATCAACTTCGGCACGGTTCGGGGATCAAGGTTTTGGGTTCAGGCATAGGTTGTTCATGTGATCTTCTGGCGGGTACGTCATGGTCTGGACTT